CATGCCAGTATAATTTATTTCAACATCAGAATGCTTTAATTTTCAACCTCAAGTGACTGTAATTTTTTTTTTCTATTTGTCAAAACGGTTTAGTTCTTTGACTTGTGCTGGGGTGAAGGATTGTACATGCCGGGTAATCTCTTGAATTCTTACCTCATGTCAGATCTTTGCATGCAGACAAATGTATTCAGTCTATTTGTATGTCATATGCTTTATACAATGTTAACAGCTGGCTCAAACTTTTCACCACCAGTTCTCTCTTTTCATCGCAAATTTCACATAATAGTCTGTTTATAGTTTGCACTTTCCTTCAGTAGATTGGGACAAAAATAGCCAAATTTTTATAGTAAAAACAAAAAAATTTTACCTGAATTTAGTCTGTTGGCTCCAAAATTAAGGATCATTTCCAGAAATATTGAGAATTTGAAAAAAGTGAAGAACAATTTGAGCGAGAAAGTCTATTGGTGAAAAGGCTAAAGCTAGGTTACCTTGTTTTCAAAACAGTCATTTGTAAAGTATACAAATTATACCAAGTAATTTGTATTAAATATGTCTTGTACTGTAAAAGCATTTATTTTCACTGACATTTTGATCTTTGAAGCATATTCACTGTTTTATTTTCATGAATTTGTCAAGGAAACAATGAGTTTTATTATGTTCACATAGATAGATTTAATTTAGCCGATTTTACTTATCAGCGAAAATAGCGATAATCAACCCAGTGAATAATTAATGCATTTACAGTAGTACATGTAGTGACATTACACATTCCAAAAGTTTTTGTAGAGAGATTAGGATAGCATAGGAGCTAAGGTGTGTAACGCCTGAACTGTGCGGTACAACTGTTAGCTTATTTGTGCTTCAAATAGACAAAATATGGTAGAACATTTTCCCATGAAAATAGTATACAAGAATGCTATTACACTTTTTCAGTATTGCATTTGTGGTCTGCAAAACAGAATATATCATCATCTCTGCATTTCTGTGAACTTAAATTGCTATGTTGAAAGTACAGATTCAATTCCTCCGCTAAAATGCACTGCATAAAAACATAACTCTCTGGTGATGTTTTTTTTTTTTTTTTTCGTTTTTCTTCAGTAAAAGTCTGCCACTGTACCGTGAAATATTGGCAGGTGGCGGCGCGGGGTTGAGTCAAGTCGTTATCACAACGCCTATGGAAATGTTAAAAATACAACTACAAGATGCAGGCAGACAAGGTTGGTAAATATAAAATTACTGAAAATGAACTATACACAAAACACTCCAAAATGTCTTTTCAGAGAAAATTAATTCCAGCTAAAATAAAGTATTTTACAGTATGCGTTTCAGTCAGAATAATTTGATTTTCCATCATTTTCTAATTCATTCCATATTTTTTCTTAATTTATATATAGCTCAAAAAAAAGTACAAAGTTCCGCCGGAACTGCCTCGGCCGAATCAGCAATAAACGTTGGGCAGACCCGAGGATACTCTGCAGCACATGCAGCCGTACAAGAAACTCCCAAATCGGGGATGGATATCTGTCGAGAACTGTTTCGTAGTAAAGGAATTTTAGGACTTTATCGCGGTTATGGTGCTACATTGTTGCGAGACATTCCATTCTCTATGATTTACTTTCCAACATTTGCACATCTCAATGCCTTGGTAAGAAATTTTCCTTTTAGAAGATTTAAATAATGAAAACTTGTACTTTAAAAACATAGATGTCTTCTTCTCACATAGTCCTATCTCTTTCCACTGTGAACAAACGTTACTGTAAAACATGTTTAAAAAAGCAACATGCAATTTTAGCGAATTGTGGTAAAATGACGTAATAGCGAAATGTTGGTTTAGTGATTCTTACTTGTCATTGGTGATTTCCTGTTTTCACAATACTTGTCTGTCACGTGCCAAAACAAATGCGCAGTTATCACCTCCATAAAAAAACACAAAAAACTGTCAAGTGTAATTAGAAAGCGCCCCAGGTTTTTATGTTCCGGATTACTGTATACAAATCCCCAAGCCTTGGCCATTTAGAATTTATAATAAAGTCATTAGCGACATCTTGAATTAGCGAATCTGTTCTCCCACTGTGTAAAGTATATGTAACGAAGAATAACAACTATTTGACCTTTTCTCAGTGACCTCGCATAAGTAAAGGCCCTCGTATAAACCGCAGTTACAATGTATCAAATTAAAAATTGGGGTCAAAAGCTCAAGTTCAGGGTGCGGTTTATATTACGTACATATTGCAATCACTAAATGGGCGTGGACATTTTTTTTCAATCCCAAAGCGCACGTGAGGTTATTATGAGTACCGGTATATCTCGAAGTATGCCCGAAGACTGTACAGCGGGAGTATCGACTGACGTGCAGCGGAGGTCGATGCGAGTACATACTTTGTATCTTCGTAATACCGGTAATCTTATTATTATACATCTTTTCCTTCCAAAGATGCATCATGGGGACGCCGAAATCATTACGCGTGTAATCACTCCATATTTGGAATACGCATTTTCTAATATAATAGGATGGAAAAAAACACGTAAAATACCGCAAAATTATGGCACGCTGTAACTTAAGGCGTTACGGTGACAGATGTTTAATAATATCTATTATGAGATATGTAAATAACATTGTCTTTCTGAAAACTATTGTGCAAGATCTTACTTGCTCTTAAATCTGTCAACACTGACATTGTCAATGAAGACAAACAAGCACATTATTTTTTTCTCCATTCAAATATATGTTGACCGACAACTGAAAAATTATCATATTTTTATTCAGGATAAATCAATCAATAATCATAAAAAGATCACCTGTCTATAAAAGATTATTTCTTTACACTTTGAATGCCATATTACCTATTACCTACTAGTCTTGATCAAAATTTAGAAAAAAAATTATGAGAAAATTATCTAGGTTTGTGAATAGTGATAAAAGTTGACTTTGTGCTCAAATGATATGCAAATTATCTAATTAGTATGCACATATAGTATATAGAACTATTTTGTGAATTGTGACAAAAGTTGACTTTGCGCTCAAATGATATGCAAATTATCTAATTAATATGCACATATGATATATAGAACTATTTTGTGAATTGTGACAAAAGTTGACTTTGCGTTCAAATGATATGCAAATTATCTAATTAGTATGCACATATGGTATATAGAACTATTTTGTGAATTGTGACAAAAGTTGACTTTGCGCTCAAATGATATGCAAATTATCTAATTAAAATGCACATATAGTATATAGAACTATTTTGTGAATTGTGACAAAAGTTGACTTTGCGCTCAAATGATATGCAAATTATCTAATTAATATGCACATATGGTATATAGAACTATTTTGTGAATTGTGACAAAAGTTGACTTTGCGTTCAAATGATATGCAAATTATCTAATTAATATGCACATATGGTATATAGAACTATTTTGTGAATTGTGACAAAAGTTGACTTTGCGCTCAAATGATATGCAAATTATCTAATTAATATGCACATATGGTATATAGAACTATTTTGTGAATTGTGACAAAAGTTGATTTTGGTGCTCAAAATTGTATGTACCTGGTAACTCTGGTGGTTGCTATGCATATTTAAAATTTAATAAAACTTTACCCAGAGAGAGGATGTACAAGCATGCATGACTTGGGATTTCTATTTTTAAAAACTGTTTATCTTTTACAGGGTAAAAGTGAAGATGGTGGTAGAGCTAGTTTTATGCATTCTTTCGCCAGTGGTTGTACTGCAGGGACAATGGCGTCACTTTTGGTTAATCCAATGGATGGTGAGTTATGTCATTGGTGGCCATTTTGTCTGCATCAGGACATGAACGATCACTCTACTCGCCTATAACTGTTGTTAATCATGTTTCACAAGAATAAATTATCACTCTCAATTTAAGTTTATTTTAATAGCACATCTTCTTAATGGTGTAATTGCCTGACAGACTGTAGTCAGCCGATTATAATCGGCCATGTTGGTGCATTTTTGACATTTAGTTAGCAGACTTTTCGAACTGTTGACTGACTTTCATCTTCATTAAACTCTCATTATACAGGAAGGCCATTTAACAACTCACTGTTTCTGTTTCAATTTGCTTAAAACTACTGTACAAACACTAAAATAGTGAAAAACAATATCTACAGCTATCTTATGGCTTGATATCAAAACTGACACATATATTACTTTTTAGTACTTTTAATTTACTGTATTCAATACATTTTCAAGTTTTTTTATTTGTTGTTTTTGTATTTATTATATTTAGTCACAGACCAAATTTTTAGGTTATTGGGATATTACTTTACACAGACTACAGAGCTAGAACACAAGATTTGATGCATAAAAATAAAACACAACTACTGGTAGTTCTATTAAAAAAATGTCAATGTGTACAGAATGAAACATCATATCAGGAACTACTGTGGAATACTTTATTTTCGCTGAAAAAGGGTTTTGGGGCGTTTTGTATGGAATTTATTTTCACTGATTTTTGATGAGATTAATGTGAAATATAGAAAAAAAAAGTATATTTGCTGGGTTTTATTTTCACGGGATCATCCCTTTAGCGAAAATAGCAAAAATAAATTCCAAGCGAAAATAAAGTATTCTACAGTATTTAAAAAAAATAAAACAAGGGGGGTATTCTTGAACCTACTTGTAAAGATAAGAAAGTTTAAGTATTAAAAATCTGCCTGTTTCTATGCATAGGTCATACTTTAAACTAAGCAACATTATTGAAGGTGTTAGCATTGATCAATCTCTCAAAAGTTTTTTTGAGTCAAGCGAGTGGCAACAAGAACATTTGTTTCCCCTTGTCAAAAGATTGCAATTACATCATGGATACCACAACATATGTGTATGCAACATGTTATGGTCAACGCTGTATCATAATGTCTGTATAACATTGTTTGAAATGTATATAGACCTTTTATTTGTCGTCTATTTATTTACAGTTGTGAAAACCAGACTACAGCTGTTGAAACAAGCCCAAGGAGACACAACATACACTGGGATCAGAGATTGTGCAGTCAAAGTTTACAAACAAGAAGGATGGACAGCTTTTTTTAAAGGTGCTGGATGTCGTATTATGGCTATAGCGCCACTGTTCGGTATCGCGCAAGCTGTGTATTATGTCGGCGTTGGAGAGTACATACTGGGGATGGATACTACTAATAGATACAATTAATTTGTATATCTATTTATCATATCGTATTTTAAGCTAATTATTAAATAAATTTAGATTACATACAGTGAACTTCATAAAGGCGTGAACTTGTTTAATATGCAATATTTATAAATTGAAACATTTGAACAATCGTAGCGCATTTTATGATGCATAGCAGTGAATTATCCAATGAGTGAATGAAATCTGCAAAGACTTATGGGTAATAGCATTATCAAATGGCATCCATAGCTACTGGGAACATCTTCTTTGGATTAAAATGTTTTAAAAATATTTTATGAATATCCATAATTGCTGTCCACGCCTTTATGAAATTCACTGTATTATAGTGCAGTGATTTTAGCTTTAGTTTTTGAGATTACTAAATTTGTGCTCACTCAATAATACAATGTCCATTCAATCATGTCAAACTAATATATATTTGTGTTTGATTATTTCATTTCTTTTTTTTATATTATTTTTTGACTTCATGAGATTCAATTGTGTGATGTTATAAAAACTTATTACAACTGTACATAGTTGAACAATTATGTCATTTTTTCCTTCACAAGTATACATTTTTTTTTAGCTCCGCTGTCGACTTTGTCGAGCGGAGCTTATCATATGAGTGATTGTCCGTCGTCGTCGTCCGTCGTCCGTGTCAATGTTTTACTTTTTCGACTTCTTCTTGAAAACTACAAGCCTAAATGCTTTGATACTTGGTGTATATGTACCTTGGGTAGACCTCTCTCAGATTTGTTCATTTTGTAATGATATCTTTAATTCTCTAATTTTGGTGAATATTTTTGTCATTTTTTGGTGAAAAGTGATATTTTCGACTTCTTGTTAAAAACCGCAAGTCCAATTGCTTTGATACTACATATATAGGTACTACATGTGGACCTCTCTCAGATTTGTTTATTTCGTGATGATATCTTCAATTCTCTAATTTTGGTGAATATTTTTGTCATTTTTGGTAAAAAGTGATATTTTTGACTTCTTGTTAAAAACCGCAAGTCCAATTGCTTTGATATTACATATATAGGTACTACATGTGGATCTCTCTCAGATTTGTTCATTTTGTAATGATATCTTTAATTCTCTAATTTTGGTGAATATTTTTGTCATTTTTGGTAAAAACTGATATTTTCGACTTCTTGTTGAAAACTGTAAGTCCGATTGCTTTGATATTACATATATAGGTACTACATGTGGACCTCTCTCAGATTTGTTCGTTTTGTGATGATATCTTCAATTCTCTAATTAATTTATTTTGGTGAATATTTTTGTAATTTTTGGTAAAAAGTGATATTTTCGACTTCTTGTTAAAAACCGCAAGTCCGATTGCTTTGATACTATTCATATTGTTCATTTTCTAATGATGTCTTCAGTTCTTTAATTGAAATGTGCATTGTTAACAGCGGAGCTATCTCAGCCGATAGGCTGCTTGTTTTTCATTACAACAGTTCTGTGAATTATTTGACAAGTCAATTAGCTAGATGGCCTGTAAAACTCTTGACCTTTGCCTATTTTTAGCTTAGTGGTGCCATTTCACTTGGTAATACATACACAAGATTTGCAAATTGTAATTTTGACCACCGCTATGAAAATGTGAATGTCAATAGTCAAGATTGTGCTATAAAACTTAGAACAAATCAAACTGCAAGTGTTTCACCTGTCTGCTTGTCGTTTTAGCCAGCCACCTGTCTGCTTGTCGTTTTAGCCAGCCACCTGTCTGCTTGTCGTTTTAGCCAGCCACCTGTCTGCTTGTCGTTTTAGCCAGCCACCTGTCTGCTTGTCGTTTTAGCCAGCCACCTGTCTGCTTGTCGTTTTAGACAGGCACTTTACTTTTTACAGGTACTAAATTTCTACAAACCTGTCCATTTTTAATTGAAAATTACCTTTAAAATACAAAATAATCATGAATAATGAATCAACAAACAGACTAGCATCTGCTACTTTTCACAGAACATTCTACGGCGCTAAGACATGCACCACTGTACCATGTAATTCCATGGGTTGTGAAAAGCCATTAAAAATATCTAAAGTTGAGAAAATAGCACAAACTCAACTTTGAAGTAGTCCAGAGCAACCAAATTTATATATGTTGCACATGTGTGTAGGTATTCTTGCCTCAACAACTATCTCAAAGTACAGTTTGCCTGAGAGTTTTCAGCCTTTGTTTTCACCGTGATTGTTGCCAAGTGGTGAAAATGAACGGATGTCAGCCCCTGAGAATAACCATAGTTTCAAACTATTTTGCTAATTGACTCTCTTAATATTTCTCAGAACTGCTGTAATATTTACACTTGCTCATTTATATTCAATCCCAAAACCTAACATTCACTCATCATTGTATGTAATTTACTAACACTGATTTTTTGCACCACCCACTGACTAACTCACTTGTATGTAATAATTTGTTAAAGCGGGGGAGTCGTCACATGTGCATGCCTCAGATGTCCATAGCGTGTCATGCTTTACAAACAAGCGTCTACCCATGACCCTTTGCGTTTTTAGCGTGTGTTCTATCATCACTTGGGACTCAATTCCCGCGTGTTCGCAGGTGACAACCCTTCCGTTTTAACGTACTTTCTAACTCAGACATCTTACATATAAATTTCTAACTTGCATGCATACACAAACTTGAACCCAACCTTCCACTAACTCTCTGACTACACTCATGCATACCAGGTGGTACTGTTACCTGCACATACATTCTTCACCTACAACCATACTCACAGACTTGGACACTTAAATGTCTGTATTAGCTGCTTACTTCTGACTGTATATCATAAAACATATCGTATGAAAACTGCTTTATTACTGAAACTTGACATGAATACTAGAATTTGTTCACCTAAATATATCTTGATAATCTTGCATCCTGGTATTCTTACATCCTGGTAATCATGCATTTAGTTAGCATCAGGCGAACAAGTGAAACAAAGGTTAATCTTCAAAGTAAAAAAAAAAAATTATAATCACATACTTTATCATAAGATTGGCTAACTTACATGTATATATTATTCAATTGATGTGTAGATTACGTATTCACCCTACTACCGTACATTAAACAGCTTTGCCAACAGTGTTTCCAAATACAGTGGGTATTTTATGGATTTGTGTAAATTATTTGATTTAATGTATACTGAAATTGTCACAAATTATGGGGAAAGTGTTTAGTACGGCTGTTATCTGCATAGTGTGAACCGCTTCACTTTTGCGAGACATGTTTTTGCGTGTCTGAGAAAATCTTGAAATTTGAAACGACAATTTCTCTTTCTCTGGCAAAATTGTGTCTTCACGTAAGCATTGCGATGCCCAAATAGTAAAAAGTTTTAGCAGCGAAAACTAAACTGAACTCAAATTATAGTGGGGCAATCTGGCCACAGATATTCTAGTCTAAAGTTGCATTCCATATTTGTATTACAGGGGTATATGCAGAACACGTCTCGCATATAGTGATCACCTTGAAAAATGGAAAATACAGTTAGTTTGCCAGCAGATTCTGAAATATTGGAGCGATCAAGCTAGCTAGAAAGTGGTAGTGACCAATTAAATTAATTAAATGACCAATTTAAACATAAAATTAATTACTTCAGGATTTCTATGATTTCAGGATTATCTGAGATAATATTTCTCTTGAATTTGTATGTTTACAAAGGGCAGTGAGAAGCATACAACAGATCATACATACAAAGTGTGCTTCAACTTAAACTAACCAAACGAGACATATAATGTGTAAAAATGATGTCTAATCCATGAAATTTGAGCTTTCAGCTCAACCACGACAAAGTCACTTTGAGTTATAGTATCAAGGGTCAAATTTATGGTCATATGGATTGCTTTTCAAAAGACTAGCTGTCAGCCATGCTGTTTAGTAGCAGAGATAACCACTTATTTGATTGCTGATTTGTTTCAATGAAATTTAGTTTATAAATGCAGTTATCAGTGGGGCCAGATTCAATTTTTTGGATCAATTTGTACATATTAATTACCTAATTTGCATAACTGTCTATTTTTGCTGAAGTTGCTGAGTGAATCCTGCCAAATATATTTATCTACTTGTGTTGCATGTAGTTTATCACAGAATCACGCAGTTAAATGAATTTACTATTACAAATTATTTGAAAGCTGATATTCATTATCATATCTCGCTATTCTGTATATTTTATGTAAACTACCATTACATGTAGAATTGAAATACCACTAGGGTCCCTTAGGCTTCTTATTAATATGAAGTTATGCATCTCATTGTTCAAAAAACTTTTGTTTGTATGTCCGTTATACAGGCAAGGATCATGTTTCATTTCAGTCTTGCTCTTTGAAAATCTTCAGAACTAGCACACCTAGCCTCTCTGAAAATCTTAAGGACTACCATACCTAGTTTCTCTGAAAATCTTTAGGACTAGCACACCTCGTCTCTGAAAATCTTTAGAACGACTAGCACACCAAGCCTCTCTGAAAATCTTCAGAACTAGCACACCTAGCCTCTCTGAAAATCTTTAGGAACAGCACACCAAGCCTCTCTGAAAATCTTCAGGACTAGCACACCTAGCCGCTCTGAAAATCTTCAGGACTAGCACACCTAGCCTCTCTTAAAATCTTTAGGACTAGCACACCTAGCTTCTCTGAAAATCTTCAGGACTAGCACACCTAGCCGCTCTGAAAAACGTCAGGACTAGCACACCTAGCCTCTCTTAAAATATTTAGGAATAGCACACCTAGCCTCTCTGAAAATCTTTAGGACTAGCACACCTAACCTCTCTGAAAATCTTTAGGACTAGCACACCTAGCTTCTCTGAAAAACTGTAGGACTAGCACACCTAGCTTCTCTGAAAATCTTCAGGACTAGCACACCTAGCCTCTCTGAAAATCTTTAGGACTAGCACACCTAGCCTCTGAAAATCTTTAGGGCTAGCATACCTAGTCTCTGAAAACCTTAGTGGCACACCTAGCCTTTTCCAAATTACACTACAAGTTCAAATCAAAATAGTGTCTCATTGCAATTTTATTTTGTACATTTATGTCATGTTTTACTGAATTAAATGCTATTGTAGTAGAAATGCAAAGTGTTTGTTGACTCAAGTTTTTTTTGTTCATTGTACGCCAATGTTCAATGCAAGTGTTTTATATTTATACTACATTTCAGTTTTAGGACCAATGCTTGGTCTTTCCAACAGATCTATATAAACGTTAAAAGGTGGTAGTTGTCTTCGTGCAGCGAATGTCATGTAAACTGTATTTTCCATATCAAACAGGACACTGCACAACGACCAACGCCAACAGTCAGTTAGCAGCTGTATGGTTTACTGTCAGTTTCGGAGATCAGTGGATCCCTAAATTAACATGTAAAGTGCACTTGAAATAGAATAATTGAGATCTATGATTTTATAATTTCCAAATCATCACAGAAAAAAATCTTGCAATGCACGGTTTCAAAACCTTCCCTATGAATTGATGTTGACACTATGCCAAATAAATGGAACTAGGCTGGTGAAGATTCAATTCCTGGTGACCAAAAAATTGCTGAGAATGCTTAGAAGTACAACTTCTACATCGCGGTTTTTGAAAAATATTAGCCCAACTCCGTTCAAAATGCAATGCTGTAACACGAAAGAACATAGTTTTATATTATCGTGGAACAACTGCTCCATGGTGGTACATAATAAATATGTACCCGCAGATTACCACAATAACTACAAAATACTGCCTTCAAGGTAGAGATGCAGGTTCGTAGGCACTTGCAAGTGAATTTTTTTTTTTGCTTTTTATTATCCAAACAGTCTTGGCTATAGACTGTTAAAATTTTGTTGAATTGTGAATAGTTGAACATACTCGATTTTAAAATAATGTGAATGCTTAGCAAGATTTAGCAAGGCTGTACATAAATAATAAAAAAGAAACATGGTGAAAAAAAGAAATGATGGGATCTCCATACTATGCCCTATATTTAACTTTTAACAAAACGATAATACATTTAAATTTGTATTTCAAACCACAGTGTCCATATTAAAAAAATACTAACAAAATTTTAAAATTCATACAATAAGCTTTCCGAAAATAAATAGTTTTAACTAATTAAAATATCTGTCAGGTCGTCAAGTATTTAATAAACTCCTTTGACACCGCACACTCAATAGCCTACATGTACTTGATAGAGGGCGCTCCATATTCAGAAATGCCAACCACTTGATGTGAGGGCGCTCTACCAACCCTTTTTAGTTTGTCCATCTATGTCCCGACTAAAGCCAAAGAAAAAAAAAATTACAGTTTTTAAATTTTTTGGAATACAGATACCATACTGCAAAACCAGATGTACATTTAACCTTTATTACATAATGCCTTCAATAAGTGCATCATTTATTTGGATAAAAAAAACATCCTCTCATACAAACAGTGCAGAATTGCAAAAACAAAAAAGTTAGGCATGGGTTTCAACCTGACACTTGCATGTACTGTAAAAGGATTAATTATTCACTGGGTTTTAATTTGGCTTATTTCGCTGACTGGAAAATGCGCTAAATTAAAACCCAGTGAATATGTAAAATTTGTCATAGAACACATTATCTAAATGATAAAACCGTGAATTTAAAACCCACTGAATATGCCTGAAATGGTAAATCAGCGAAATTTAAACCCAGTGAAAATTAGTCATTTTACAGTATTAGAAGAAACTTGGGCCCTAACCGTGTAGAAATGTTTAAAATTCAGACAACTGCATTAATTATTCACTTTACATTTATTCACTTCATGGATAATAAACTTGGTTTTGTTTATACAGCACTTTACAAATAACTTACAAATGTTTACACCTTAGCATCTATTGATTGTGTCAATGTGGACGCTTCCACTATATGGAGGGGGGTGTGAAGCAGCTTACAACGTTCAAAATAATTGGAAAATAGAAAGAAGAGCTTACACTCAATAGACTGTTGTGTAAAATATAATATAATCACCATGGAGATTATATCAACGGCAAACTGCTTTCATTTTGCAGACTGAAATGACACATTTTCATTGCTGTACATTTCTTTTGGATCCTCCAAATGCAAGACAGTGACATAGGAAATTATATTCTTGCAAATATCTTTTGATCGATAAAAGATTACGAAAAAAAATGTACATGTTTCTGTAGATGTGCAACACAAACTTTAATTCACTCTTGTCTCTGGTTACTATATATGCATAAAGAAATAAAAGTGGAGAGGGGGGTCAACTTTAATTGCTTCCGTTCAGCTGGAATATACATGTAGTTGTAGGCAGTTTGATAATACTAGTTAAAGTGTAGGACCGAACATGATTATATTGTATTGTAATGGTCATAATTTATAGAAAATTGATTTTAATTCATACAAGCACAATGGAGTTGTACTTTTGCAAGATACACATGTATGTCTATTCAACTTGACAAGTAGGGCTCATGAATGACTGGTTATACCCCACCCCCTTTCTGTTGTGGGTGCACACTCAGTAACTAACAACTAAGAAACCTTGAAAACTTGTCTATTGTCATATTTCACAAAACAGACTTACAGAAATACACAATGCATTGGCATTTTTAGCAAAATGATACATTATCTTGTTTACAAACAAAATGGTAAACAACTACTGAAATAATGAAACTATGCAAGTTGACATGTTATATGAATTACTGATACATATCATTCATTTCATAGAACAAATTCTATTTTTAGTTCAACAAAAACTAATTCTGTAAATACTTTATTTTCGCGGAGGGGTGATTCAGTGAAAATAAAATCCAACGAATATACCTTTTTTCTTATCTTTTACATTCAACTCGTCAAAAATCAGTGAAATAAACTCCATACACCCAAAAAGTCTTTTCAGTGAAAATTAATTCAAGCTGAAATAAAGTATGTTACAGTAAGCAAGTTATACACATCAAGTTATTAATATTCATGATGATTATACAAGGAGAGAGGAACTGGAGTACTGCTAATACAGCAAACTAATGATGGTTGTTTTCTAAGAAGGAAACTACAACATCAAAATGATGCGTTTGAAATGTTAATATGGGTAATAATTTGAAGGCAGTTAGGGGGTCTAGTCAGAAAATTTCCTGTTGGGGTTCTCCCCAAATAAAGCAGTTCTTATCACTGGCAGCATCTGAAAATGAAAAGGAAAAAAAAGAAAAAATTAGAAGAAAGCAGAAATATATTATCAGCCGATTTCATTTCGCTGAATTTAATTTTCAACCTTTTTTTCCAGCAGGGTGGGAAACCAAATTGTTGCAAGTCGGTGTTGTGCTTTAAACACTTGCCTAAACACTAACGCACAGATTTACTGTGACACAACAAATTACAGTACAACTAGTTGCATTGACAACAGAAATTCACATATTGATATTAGCGATCTTGAAAAACATTTTATTATAGTTATGGAAGTTTTAAAAATAAAATTCACATTCGGGGGATTCTACTTCGACTCAAAATCCCTAAAAAAGATTAGTCCTGTTAGAGAACACACTGCACCAAATACTCCACTGCCATTGATACAATACTAACCTGGTTGCTTATTAATGCAAGCCTGCTTTCCAAAGTATTGACCACTTTTATCTTTCCTTTTTGAGCCAATAATACTATACCACCAGAACTATGTGAAAAAAAACAACAACATAACAGCATTAGTGAGCAAGTGGATGTAATCAAACCACAGCTCTGCAATTCCTGAGATTGAACCAGTGCATCATGGGAAAGTGAAATTTGTATGGCTGCCCATTATTTATTATGTATACAAAATAGATGATTTTCCGTTCATCTCGGGATATTGCTTATTGCGTGAAAGGCGCGGACCGAACCGAACGTCTGTCACAATGATCGAACGATTTGATTTTGAATTTATGTTTCTTTTTTATAGCTCAATGTCGTAATGGTGATCCTTGAGATGGGAATATTGCGTTGAGATATCCTTACTTCATTGAAATTAATCATCATTAAATGTGTATAGTACATTATTAAGCAGGGAAATACCCAACAATATTTTCGCATTTGACGAATCCCACTCAATATTCGAAAGCCACAACGACGCTTTGACCTTAGCTTGTCCTGTTTTTTCGTTTGATTTCACTCATAATGTGGGATCTCGCAGCCAATGTATGTTCTATTACCAAAGATTTTAATGTCTAATGTTACCAGCGGTTTAAATTTCTACTCAATGTAGAATGAATCCTGTGTTAGATCAAAAAGACTATGTTACTTACATATCTGCAGGTAGAAATGATTTTGTATCTATAACAACATTGCAGTTTCTTCCTGTTGACTTCTTGTATGTATCCAATACTGATGGCAAGATTGACTGTGGAGAAATAAACAATTAAAAAAAAAACATAGTTAAACTCTGGTGATCTTGCCCTTTGTTATAAAATAATATTCTCTTTATCATTGCTTGTTTCAATATAAATATGCCTTGCCATAATTATTATTGAATACAAACATGTTTTAGGATTGAAACAGGGATAATACTTGTACATGTATGTCATAGATATCTCTGACTATGAAAGCTTAGTTGAACACTATTAAACAAGTATTCTGAAAATGAGATGGTCAAGGCAAAAATAACACAGTTTGTTGGTGTACATACACTATAAAAACAAAGGAAAGTAAATAGTTTGCCACATGGTAAGGGCAATATAAAAACAAAGGAATTACAAAATTCACCACTGGTGGTGTGCACACAAACAAAAATCATTTGCAACTAATGATCTGCGTTTACCTTCACAAGGTCAACATCCTGCTGACGACACCTGATAGTGACATTGTTTTCTAACATTTGAAATAGACCCTGGGTCGTTAGGCCTTCTAAAAGTTTACGGTACTGTTCTTGATTCTGGGTGACAGTTCCCAGTCTTTGTCTTCCTTCTTCCAAGATAGCACTCACATGATCTTCTCTATTCTTCAACACTCGTAACCTGGCTTGATTCAGCAAATTAGAGTTCTGACTGTCAACAAGAATCAAACAAGACAGTGATAATATGTAAATCTATTTTTTAAAACAGCATACTGTAAAATACTTAGCTGGAATTAATCTTTGCTGAAAAGACTTTTGGGTGTTTTGTATGGAATTTATATTCACTGATTTTTTCGATGAGTTGAATGTATAATATATGAAATTTTTTCACTGAATCGAAGTGAAAATAATGTATTTTATAGTAATTTGATATCTCATTTTAAAACAACATTATGCAAGTCAATTCAGTGGTTTCCATTTCAAATTCAAACCTATTGATACTAACATGTCAGGCCTCCAAGAAACAAGTTTTTGTTTCTCGGTCCAAGGGAAATTTTTTTTTTATATTAAGGTTATTCAAATATCAAAACATTCCTTGAAACAGAAAACATACAAACATGTCCCCACTCTACCGCAGTATAGTACCCAAAATTTAAATAAAAGAGCATAATTTAACATCTTATCTTAACCCAATGCGGATTAATTCTGTTGGTTTTCCCTTTTAATTTATTTATTGTGGTTTTCCATTTCAAGTTATTCATTAAAACAATGTTTAGCTTCTTTTTTTGTATTAAATATATTTAAAACCAAAACATCCACTGAAACAGAAATCATACATTCTATCACATATGGCACACTTGAATAATAACCTAAATTTTAATAAAAAAATGTGTGAGGCACAGATTTGAAGCTGATGCAGTGATGATAAGAAGCAAAGCCATTTTTTTTTTGCAAAACAGTCTTTCGATAAAGAACAAAGTTCAAATGGATCAGTGTTCCTGCAGAGTATACAATGTAAAAATAATCAGAACTGATGAAGTCTTGAACTTATAATATGTGCCACAGCGCACTGATCAGAATATAAACCTTATTTATTATCATAGTTCTCCCAGAGCACCAGGGGTTTTTCTAGAAAAAATGAAAAAGAGGGAACACAAAAAGGCGAGGAAGTGGAATGTTGTGCGTGGCTCAAGAAATATATTTATGACTTGAAAGTTCAATCGGCAATTCGGTAAGAGGGTGCCAGTCGAGAGTATCAGGGCACTGCGGCCCTGTACCCTGGTTTAGAAAAACCCCTGGAACACTATAGAGTTCAATAATAATATGTTCTATTGTTATGTAAATCAGCCATGGTAATATTTTTGTTGGTTGTGCTGTGCAATGTGGTAGTAACAGTGTTCTCCCCAAAGCGTTTTAGCGTAGCGGGGCCGCTCCTCTATTATTTATGCCGCTACTCTGAGAGATTGCCCACTTCTCTGAGAGATTGCCCGCTACTCTGTGGC